GTCAGCCTTGTGAGTATGTCTGCATGCTGACACTGATTCAGTTAGCATGCCACAGGTGAAACAGATAGGGAGATTCCTGGAAGGGGTCTGAATTAACTGCAGCTCATCCTAAAGTGCATCCCTCTGACTTCAGAGTACACCCAGTGTGTGTCCCTCTGCATCTAACTCATCTGACCCCCCCCCCCCCATCCAAAGGTTTTGCATCTCACATTTCTTCAAACTGAATTTAATGATCCATAAAGACAGGCGTGAAACAATTATCAGACCAACAGCGTTTATTAACTGATCAGATACGAAGCTCTAAATTAATATGATGATCAGGCAACTTTAACACAGGAAGCTGTCCATCTTCAGCTGTTTTATTTTCTCCTGCTTTCTAGCAATTAACAAAAAAAGGATGATTATGTAACATTTTAAAAAGGTCAGAACGGTAATTTTCCAAATGACTGTGCAAGTCGATGTTTTTTTATTTCTGTTTGTTTGTAAGAAATGAGCTCAGAAGATGACAAATTTCAAGCAAAAATAAGTAAAGCTTCAATTAAACTGAAGCAACAAATCAGTCTCAACTTGAATAAAAAATGTAGAAAGACTATTAAAGGTACTTATTTAAAAAACTATAAAAAAAACTATTTCCTCACAACTTTTTCAAACTCAGGCTGTTTTTTTTTTTCATTCATTTTCAGTCCAGTAACCGGTCAGTCTCAGAGGAATCTTTGTTAAATCAGTTCTGTTACATTTTCTATAAGTTCCTGAAGCAGAAACATGTTGCATCCTGAACATTTACACAGCTGGTAATAGCTGATTCACATTTAAAGTAAACCTGAGCTAAGAAACGTTAGCAAGGACAAAAAAAAGGCTTTAACTCAGTCAACTTTACAGATATCTAGTTAGAAGTTGGTGTGGTAGCTGAGAGTCATTCCCAACACATATTCTAAGTTTAAAAATGTTCAAAACCTTCCATGTTGTCATGGTCAGGTACAAGAACTGGACAGAAAATGAGGAAAAAAATACAGCAAAAGTTAAAAAAAATTATTGGGAAGATCTTTCAGAGAGCCTGAATATTATCTGTCAAAACCTTGAAAGCGAAGTACAAGTAAATTCAAGCTGGTGTAAAACTTTTGCACAGTAAAGCAGCTCCCCAGATCTCAGCTGCATGACTTTGTAACTACATCCCTCTCGACCTGCGCTCGTCTCGACAAGAAATCCGATTTCTTAACCCAATTATTTCTCCCCCTTCCGTAACTCCACCCATGTCAGAATCCAGTGAGTTAGTAGAAGAAGACAGAGAAGGCATTTCAATCTCAGATGGTCAATAACGTCTAGCAGCACGCAGTCATTGGAGACGAGGAGGATGCACACTGGCTCTCACACAGAGAGTGTAAAACCCTACCTGGGGCAATCTGCCACTAATGTCCTGAAACACTAGTCTACAGAGAGAACAGAAACAGCTATTGTCAACCTGGTCGCACACACACACACCATTACACACAGGCACACTCTCATAATCACATTGGTACAAAACATACTCACAAATGCACAGAAACAAACCCTAGAAGAGTCTACTTGTGAATCATTTAGGCATGTGCAGCTCTGGGAGTTATTATCTTTCACTTCAGGCAGAGACTGTAAATTATCATCTGCATTACTGATCAAATAAATCTACAAGTGCATGCGCACATCCCGTAATTTTGGATTCAGGCGTTATAACAGAATGTGGGGCAGGTGATGAATCAAAACTGCCAAAAAAAACAAACAAACAAACAAACAGTACACCCCTCTATGGGTTTGATCCGCGCCGTTTCACACTTGAAAACCCAGAGACAAGAGGAAGAAAAACGTGGGTGACGAGTGAGGCAGCGTAGGACAGACAGGCATACTTACATAGAGGTCGGCCGCACCGTAAAACCCATCCTGATAGGCCATCACACTGAGAGGGAGACAGGTGACAGCAGGAGGGGGGGGGGGGGTCCAGAGGACAAAAAAGAGAAGTGGTGGAATGGCAAAAAAAAAAGGACGAAAAAAAATGGGGGGAAAGAGGAAAATAAATAAAAAGGTGTGTTGCGCCACCGTGTGGACAGAGCCGAAAACAACAGAGGAGATGTTCGAGGGAAAGGGAGGGGTGAGGCGAGAAGATGGTGCCAAAAAGAATGTGAGAGAGAGAAGAGAAAGAAGGGTGAGATTATTACACACCGTGCAACATGCAAGACAAAATACCACCTCTTTGTATACAGATGCACCGACTTTAAAGTGTTACTACTGCTACTTCAGCCAGAGACACAAATATTTACCAAAAAGCAACTCGACTCACTTTATTTTTATATGACTGTCACCGTTTAAAAGCTACAAGGAAATGGTATTTCTGCTTAGCAAACTGTCAACGTCAATTTCTCTGTAGATGTATATTACACACAGCATGCAGTTTTTAAAAATCACTGTTTCGACCAAGCCATGCTTTTAAAGAGAACAGACATAATGTTGTGATTTCGTTTTCATAACTAAGACCAGGTTTCGTTCAGAGCGTGTTTACCCGGGGTACGTGGGGATGGCGGGCTGCGGGACAGCTGCCCTGACGGCGCTGTAGACGGGCCGAGCTCGACCCCGGAGGTGGGTGCCTCGGAAGGTTGCGGCTGTGGTGGCGGCAGCTGCTGCTGCTGCTGCGGGGTAAGGAAACCCTGGAACTAAGAGACAAAGAGGGCGAGGATTAAGATACATTTACCTGCTGCTGGTTTTATTATCATTATTATTAATAATATTAATGTTCCTGCAAATAAATGCATAACGATAATTGAAAAAAAAAAGAACATTGAAAAACAGTCAATCCATCTACTGGCTCAATGGCGAAGTAAAGGACTGTAGTGCAGATAGTTTTCACTGATGCTGCTGATTCTAACTTTAAATTATATCAAGATTAAACATGAAATAAAAGTAACTAAAGGAGATACAGTATTTAGATTATATTGAAGTGCACATGTAGATTTGAACTCTTTATAAAACAAAAACGTACTTTTATCAAGCCTTTGCTGCCCAAGCAACAAACAAAATGTGGGCCACTGCACTGGCTCCTAGCTTAATCATAAAAAAGACTTTACTTTAAGAAGTATTTCCATTTCCTGTATTATATTATAGTATTTGGCCCGCAGCCCTTGGATAGATTTTCATTTTGGCCCACTCAGGAAAAACGTTTGGGCACCCCTGCTGTAGACGTAATTTTAGAAGCTTTCAGAAGTAAAATGTATTTTGTAAGGGGACTTTGAACCCCCGCTTGCATTCACTACATTCACATAACACGACACTAGTCAGGTGATGGGGCACATGACCCTCTATGAACAATAGAGCCAATCAAGCCTATTGTTAGGCGATGGCCCTCTCTTGCATGTGACTAACCTGTTTGTCCAGGTGGAGGCAGTGCTTATAAGGTTGAGTTCACCTGAAACTCATCAGACTGAAGAAGTCTCTCGGAGGAGAGACGAAACGTTTCACTAAAGAAGAACCCATCCAGAGGACCTACTTATTTTTTTCTTTTTGATTTTTTTCTACCTGGATTACTGAGATGCATCACGATATTTTGTAAGCAGTAATTTTGTTTGACAACAAAACAAATAAATAAAAATAAAAACGTTAATGGAATTTATTTGTGACAACTTCTAAATAGTTTTTATGGCCGCCTACCAAGAAAGAGACACAAGTCCTAGACAGTTATAGTACTAGAGTTTATGGTAATTGCTGTGATAGAAATAAACGTGACTCTTACCCGTGTAAAGCTCAGGACTGTACATGGCTCCAACCATCGGACTCAACTTCCAACCAGCTATTTAAACAAACAGACAAGTCAGATGATTTTGTTGCAAAAAAATGTACTTAAAAAAGTTCAAATCGAATGCTGAGATACGAGTGTCTCATTACACCCCCACCTAAATGTCATTGATATACCTGAGGGAATAAATGTACCGTATGGTAGTGCTGCGATGCCCTCTCCGTTAGAGTACGGTGTTGTCATCTTCTTGTTTGTCATCACTCTGGCTGTCGCGTTATTAACCTGGGTACCAGACAAAAAGTTAATGGGGCTAATTAAAAAAAATTTTGGTAGACAAAAAATTACTGGGAATGTGGAAAAATGTTATCAAAATATTTCTAAAATAGACTTCAGACACTTAAGCTTTTGTTTAAAAATTCTGCTTTTCGTGTGAGGTGTCATCGATACATTTTTTAAAAAATAAATTCATGGCAGGGATTAGATCTGTGGATGGACAGCAATGGTATTTGATGCATGCGCTTTATTTTGAAAGAGAAATACATAAAAAACAAGGATCCTGGTGAGCATCTTTGAGCACAAACAATGCAACCACAAAACGCAGAAAATCAAACATTTCCGAGCTGAGGGATTCGAAAAGAAATCCAAGATCCCTGTTCTTTTTTTTTTCTTTTTTTTTTTTAAAAGAAGGGGAAAAAGAAGTTGAATTAAGCAGCTGATTCATCATTCGCACATGATGCAAAAGAAAAGATTAAACAGAACATTAATCGAAGAGTTCGTACACAAATTACATTCAGCCAGTCAGGAGCGCATCACATCACCGGAGGTGAGCAAAACAAACCAATTTGCAAGCTTCAGATGCAGCAAGAGACGAATTAAAAAAAAAGTCCTCCCAATCAAAGTCCACGTCATACAGAAGAGGAAGGAGTACAACAGAGAAAAGACAGAAAAAGAGGGATGCAGAGGGAGATGCCAGTCCACATGAAAAGACACAGAAAAACACAGACATAAGGTGGGGAAGAGAGGCAGAGAGGATGAACCATCCAAATGTGCCGTTACACAATCAATAAGATGCAACACACATTCGACACATCCAACCGTTGGCCTACGACGAATCTAACTGAACATGAGCAACGATGGAGAAATGATGAATGCTGCATACAGAGAGAGAGAGAGAGAGAGGAGGCAGAGAAGATGGGGGGATGCAAATATCATTCCTCAAAAAACAAAAAAACAAAAACAAACAAAAAAAAAACAAAAAAACAAAAGAAAAGTAATAAAAAAAAAATCAAACCTTGGCTGTGAAACACTGCCGGGCATTTCAGGTCAGTGTCCCACACCAGAAACACCTCGAAGCACGCAACCACCAACACACACCATCCAGAATCAAAAAAACGGATCAAAAAAGTGAAATCAAGGGGGGGAGACATCTCTTCACAGAAATCAGAACAAGGAGAAGCTGTCACTGCTGCAACGTTTTTCTTTTTCCTTCTAAATTACTTGATTTTTGTTTGTTCTTGTATCGCATTAGTAACAAGACGCCAGCGGCCTCTTTTGGCTCCGATTTTTCACTATGGACTCTGCACACCCATCTACGCAGCGGCACAGGAAGTGACCATCGAGCACGACAGCACGCCATGACAAACAGACAGCTATTATCCCCTCTCCAGCAGAGCTAACATAGCACTCATGCTTCAGCATGCCGTCCCACTAATAAGGTGCAAGAATGCAGCTATTGGCTGACACATGACACAGAGAGATGACATAATGCTACATGACATCACACAGATGACTAGAAAGAGAGTAAACCATGCAGGATTCAGCTCTGGATTTAAATGCAGTTAAGAGAGGTGATTGGAATGAATGCATTGAGAAGTGGTAGTCAGAGTCGCTGCACTTGCAGATAGATGCAGTACATTCAGTTATACAAGTGGCCTTATTGGAATGCCATGCGGTCAATGGCTAACCTCGAAACAGTTTCATTCACCACCTCCCCGATCGATCACAGGATTCAGAATTAGCCAATCGGGTTAGATTAATCAGTGGTTGAACTAATCAATCAAGCTCCCTTCAGGACACAAAAAAGGAGTCCATTCTTATTATTTGGGTGCATTCTCGTGTATTTATTTACTTTTCTTCCATTTGGACGAATGGGGTGGGGGGAGGGGTCATTCAAAGATGATGCCATGTGTACACAACTTACCGTGGCCAGGGAAACGGCGTGAGGACACGCGAGCAGTTACCGTGGAGACTGACAACAACAACAACATACAAAAATCATCAGGGAAATCGAGAAAATATGAGTAAAAAAAAAAATAAATGAACCAAAAATAAAATTAAAAAGAAGGGGGAGGGGTAAACAAACAAAACGAGGTAATGAAAAGCAACCCCCACCCTGTGGTGGAGAGGAAGTGATGTCACAGGTCAACCTACAAGTATCAGCCAACAACCTGACCTCTGACAACGTTCTATGGACACAGGTCAAAAACAAAACGTTCAAACAATTAAAAGGACATTAGAAACTGTAAGGATGCTGGAAAATTTATAATTCTCAAATCTACCTGACTACGTCTCAGGACAGGAAATGTACAGTAAAATGGAGGGGGTATAGCTGAAAATCAGGTGTGTATGAGGACACAGACAGACACACACAGACAGACTGGCTTGGTGAAAAAGAGACAAAAGAGATGGAGGAGAACCTAAGCATTAAAAAAAAAAGGACAGGAGAGGGAACGACAGCTATCTGTGGCCTTCTTTTCACTTCTTTCTTCACCCTCCATTTTTTTAAACAAAAATAAAACCAATCCTCACACCCACACACAGACACAGAGAAGAGTGCAGGACATTCCAGACCCATGCAGAAGAGCTGCAGCAGTCAGTCAAATCAGAATCAGAAGCATGATTTAGGATCAAGAGCCAGAGCAAATGGCAGAAGCATGTCGCAGTGATTTCATCTCCGAGGCCATTTGCAACCGAAATCCAAGCTCATGCTGACAAATTAAAACAAACATACAAAAGAAAAAAAAAGTCACAACAAAATGCACTTCCATGAGATCTGGTGTTCTTTTTCAAGGTGTGTGCAAACAAATGCTTTTTTAACCATCCAGCTTGCATATTTAAAATTATTTTATTTATTACTATTTTTTTAGAAGAATCAGAAATGACATCTCCGAGGCCATTTGCAACCGAAATCCAAGC